TCATGACCACCATGATCCGCCGTTGATTAGGAGGTAATGGCATGTTTAGGGTTTTTTTCTGGTTAGCCAGATTAGTCTGACTGTTGAAGTATTCGAATCAAAACAAACGGAAATACCTATACCTACAATTTATATGGTTTATCAGCTTATCTGTGAATATCAAAGCGTGATGTTTTAATATACGAAAATAATAAAAGTAATGCAATTTTTAAACCTATACGGCCGATAGAATTTAAATAAAGCTTTCACTTTTATAAATAAAAAAAAAACTAAAAAGCAATCCTGGGTTTAAACTTGTATTAAACAAATGTGTTATGACAATGAAAACACATGGCAACATTTCACATTACAAGTATAGGGAGCGGTTATGGATTTTCATTTTGCGGTAATAGCATACCATGCTTGCTTTTTTCGCGTTTTTGTTGTCTACATTTGTACAGTGCGGTTAGTTGCTGGTGTTACAATATTAGAGTACGATACACACTTCTATCGGCCGATAGTTAAGCCTCTTAATCATTATGAAAATGTATGTACGCACATTACATCGATTTTGATACATTTTTGGCTTGACGGTCCTGGCCGATTAAACTATCGTTCGATAAAGTCTGTAGTCTGGGGGGCTGTAAGGCGATTTTAACGTATTGCACGCTTTTAAAGGACAATACAGATACAATAACTAACAGAATGTCTCTTTTAAATGCATTTGTATGAAAAAGGTAGATAAACGAATGTTGGAAAAGATTTCCATACTATACCATAGTCCTACATTACCTCTTATTACGAAATTAGGTGATTAATCTGTAAGTAGGTCAGCGTCAAATGTCGCTACTGTACATAACTCCCCATTGTAGTTCGAGGCAACGACTGTAATTCTATGCTGCTAAAAAGTAAACTCAATATTGTTATTCAGTTAATTTTTTTACCAAAGTAAATTCAATTAGCAACCGTTTCAATAGGATGTCTAGTAGTTTTCGATTGTATTGTATAAGGTGACAAAAAAAAAAGGAATGGAATTCGCCGAAATAGCGAACCATCCACTGCATACAGACCTCCGCATTAGCAAACGCGCGATTACCCGTAATCAACAGAGAACGGGAAACACATTGAAAGGATATTTCCCCTGTGAGAGTAATTCGCAGACCTATAACGTCCCTTTCTGTTGGGCCCTACTCTGTACTGTTCCTGGGATAGAATCATTATAACATACTTTTGTAAACATATTAAATCACACGAAATTGCCCGTGAATATAAAGTCATAATTTACATAACTAGATGTCTGTTTACCGTCGGTTCTCATAGCTTATACCTACTATATTTTGACAACAAAATGTTCCTTTAGTAAACTAAAGTGTTGTGTTTAAATACTAGATGTCACTGTTTGGATATGAAAAAGTTCCCACGACGATATGGAAAATTTTTCGGACGCGACCAAGGCATTGAAATTACTACTAGCCGTTGATAGCGACTTCGCTCGCGTGTAATTAAAAAAAAACGTAGCCTATGTTACTCACTGACAAAATAGCTTTTTAATAGTGAAAGAATTTTTGAAATCGGTCGAGTAGTTTTAGAGTTATTTCAATATATACAAAAATCCAAAAATACAAGTCATTCCTCTTTATAACATTAGTATAGATATGTTGTGTTTCGCAAAAAAATTTTACTTACACTTGTACCACTTGTACAAAAAGTCACCGCGTTATTTAATTATTCCCTAAAGCATGTCTAATAAACGTAATACTGCAATCCACTTTACAATATTAACTATGGTATTACCGTAATTTAAAACATTAATCTGGCGAAAACATGTGTGGTGCGACACTAACTCCGTGTACTAAAAATTATAATAAAAAATAAACCTTATTACAGTTCTCATATTAATGTACCAGTACTCATAAACTAAACTATTACATTCCAAGAATAATTAGCCTAAAAGTCGACGACGGAAAAAAAACTGAAAACTGGCAACACTAAAATAAATCTTATCGAATTCTCCTAACTAATAAAGGAATGCAACGGAATTCTGTCCGGAAACCGATAATCAATCGCCTATTAAATAAAAGAATGTCATAAAATATTCCTTTTGATTTATCGATCAAGGAAAGTACCAACAAAATGTTTACCAACTTACTAACAAAGATTATCAACTAGTCCGCAACATCAAAAACACTCAGTCTTAACTAAAAAAGTAAAATATGTGTTGGAAATATCAGATTATGTTTCTTTTTCTGACGGTGGCGTCATTTTTAAGCATCTGAGCTTCTATCAGCCCGTAGTGAAACAGGCCCTTAGTGTTCATGCTTAAACAAAAGATTCGTATGGTAATTCGTATTATAAGAGTACCCGCGTTACATACGCTTACCTATTGTGAACATTATCGTATATTATCAATAACTATAAATTATATAAATACTATCTACCAATAGGGACCTACTAAATTTTATCAGGCGCGATAATCTTTACTCAGAATCGACTATGACAGACTAATGGTATTTATCGTTATTGATGTTTCAAGTTACCATAATTAAACAGGGGACAAAAAAAACATTAAATTCGTCACGTTTTCGCTTTTTTTTACTTCACAACACTCAAGACTGTCGTCTACAATTATATTCGATTCATTTTAGATTATGATCCAAAATTACTGGTTACAATGTAATTTAAATAAAAAAAACTATTGTAATGAAATTTGATATAATTTTAAATTCATTGTTACTTTAATAGGTATTTTAATTAAAAATATTTACATGACTTTCTATTCATAGGAAAGATTTTAGTCGTGATGTTTATTAATTTTGGTGTTTTTTCATAATTCGTACCTAATTAAAATAAATATGCATATGAATTGATATCGGAATTAGTAATCATTTGGATAATAAGTTCTCAAAGTGAAAACGTGAGTTGCCGCCAAGCAACGTGACTAAAATTTAGCAATTTACCTTTACAATAAACTTAAATTAATAACGACTAAGGAAAACAATAACACTTAACGGAATTTCAACTAACGACCTTTGGACAGAAAGTTAAATCTAAAGAATAATACACACGACATTGACGATATTTCGACACATTTGTTATTGAGTACTAAAATGTATGTACTTACTTTTCTTTAAAATAGTCCGATATCTGGCTCATCTTCCAGAATATCTGCAGCAACAGCATCAAGACTGTATGGTTGATCCATGTGTACAGTTTGTAGCAGCTCTCCATTGCGCGCCCTTCTCTCTCGCGCTCCCACATTAACTTCGAAAACGTAACCTCAGTCATCCGTCACACGGCGATTTGCAATTTGATTAACCGTAACAAGTGTCGAATAAACGTACTGATAATACGTGAATCCACTGAACGTGCTGCGAGACGCGAGTACGAAAGAAGTTTGCCGGCTTATCGATAATTTTGTGCGCCTTGAACGAAAATAGCGGGAAGCCGCGATGAGTTTGACCGCACTCGACCGCCGGTGCACGCGTACTGAAGCGACTGTTGTTGTAGTGCGGCGCGGCGCGGCGGTTACCGCGCGAATACCATGGCGCGTTCTCTGATGACTTATGATTCTATGACTCAATTTGTATTCAATGATGTTTTATGATGCGTTTCACAGCAAAACCTTTTCGAATATATGCAGCTACTTTTATTGTACTGCTGCTTAGACAACGTTTTATAGTACATATGTATGATTTTGTACCATTTTCAATCAACGTTCATTAAAAGAAGTCGACGATCGTCAACGATAACGATGTAAGACCGACTTGTCAATATTTGTTTTATTTTCATTCTTTCAAGTTTAATACTCCTTTGTTCAAACGACCTAAGACACACAAACTTGTGTTATCGTTGAAATAGTAACATTAAAACGAAACAAGGTCTAAAAACTATCACGCTTATCGCATCTAGAAAGATAGGCAGAGACAGAGATTATGTACGTTCCATTTGGCGCAGCGCTCACCCACTTCCATATTTACATTTCTGCGCATATTTATGGGTTTCAGTTGCTTTTAATACCAATATAAATGTTAACAGAATCAATTAAATCTACGAAATTTTCAACATACACAAGTAAAACGATATTGCTCACCAAAAAGCATCGCTATATTTTCAAGGGCCAAGTAACATAAAATGTATTTATATAAAATTTATTGCACTTGACATTGCAAACGTTGAAGTAAATATTCGAGATGCACCGGCCAGCCAGACTGTTCCAATGTTTATATTTAGTCTTTTCAAAATTACATCGTTATTTTTGTGTGTTCGTATCACAGCTTTTTGTTTTCTTTATTCAACGAAAAAACAAACATGTATAAATTATTTTAAAAACGTACAAATCTGGAACTCCACCGATTCCTCAACTTTCAGAAGTTTATTTTAGCTATGACTTTCGAATCTGCAACCAAAGTAGTCGTCTAATATTTGATTATAAATCCATCTTGATAGATCCTAATGTACAATCAAGGAAACTTGCGGTATTCCACGTTGAAAGCTACAATCTTTTGAACATTTTGAAATGAGATGAGGAACAAAAACCAATACAAAACTTATAAGTGTGTCTGTACGATTAAAAAAAAAAGAAATAAGCCGTGAGTGGCTAATTTTTATTATTATTTCTGCGTTTGCACTCAGTGTTATTTAATAAGTTATTTGTAGTAAAAGGTGGAGTTTGTCTCACAGCAATGTACAAGGTATTTTTTCCAAAAGTGGAACACAAATTCCTCGACTGTACATGGAATTTAGGACCTCCCATCTCATAGCCATTACGTATCATCTCCAATACTCAAAACGCAATTGTAGAGGTTCTGTTTTTACCATTGTTTGTGTTATATGATTCCATTATATTGACGTCAGTAGTTGTATCTATTAATCTATACTATTATAATAAAGCGTAAACACACACTTCTTTGTTGCCTAAGATGTCGGCAATTACAGAATATTTTTGAATAACTCCTTTTTAATAAAAAGCCCTACACTTGCGTCACGCTTTAGGCTATATATTTTTACGCCATTAAACTTAGGGGATAAATATTTTGGATAAAAACCCTAATATGGAGAAGAGACCATAAGTTGCTGCCAACATCAAGGAAGCAAAGTTGCCATGGTTTGTTATGATGTCAGTGATTTTGTCATTTACAGTTGATAATTTGACAAATATAAATAATAAAATTTTCATAATTTCATGTGGATAAGCCGCAAGGGAACAGCTATTCAAGATATAAATCGAAAGATACTGTATGATCCTATTATTGTTTATAATAGTAAAGTCATGAAACGTCTGTTAATGTCTGCAGTTTTCCCTCCATTCATCTTTATCCATTATTATAAACACGTAAACATGTTTGTCTTTTGTAACGTAAATATCGCTTTGTCAATAGGAATTTAATCATACTAGACGTGTCCGACGGTTTCACACGTTACCCCGTAGCCTTGCGACAGGGCAAGCTTTTAATAAATAAGTACAGAGACCTTCACTAGCAATATTTCATTTTCAGAGTTGCTTCTTTACCGAGAACTAAACTCTTTCTTGGTTATAAAAACCAATTAATCTGCTTCCTCTAACGTTAAAAAGTATTGAAAGAAAGAAGTGATTTAAATATAAGCTAAATTTTATTAAACGAAACCAAGGCGAAGATAAATAGATAAAAATGTTCTAGTGCAAGTATAAAAATACATTCAAATATCAAGCTTTGCATTAGCGGAAATGTTCAAGGCGTCTGCCATGTGCTCGGCATCTTTCTTATTCGTGATTTATTTCGTGATGCACTTATAGCCTGTGACGTCACTCGATACATCATGATAAACTTTTTAGAGACTAAACATGTTCTTGTTACATCAACATACGATAGTCTTTGAAAATCAACATGTGCATAAAGTAAACCCATGTTGCTTTATGCCCATGTTGCATTATTGCGCATATTTAAAACTAGCTTTCACCTGACTCTTTCCGCACTGAATCAAAAAACTTTGCAATTAACCTATGTGTTTTTCCAGTTTATGTTATCTGTGCAAATTTCATCGAGATCCGTTCAGCAGTTTAGACAGAAACTCTATACATCCATCCAAACTGTGACTAATAAGATGTTTGGAGAACGTAACGTAATGGCTATCATATAATTGTACTCTGAAGAATAGGAATAGGACTAAACCAAATTTAGATTTTAAAATAGGTCTACATATATGCAAAACAAGTTTCGTAGTCGATTAGTTCCAACGACTCTCAATATTATTTTATATTTTTATATAAATAATTGAGTCCAGAAGCAGACGCCGTCCAAATGAGGAAGCAATTGACTCCGGCAGGCGGTCGACCTCTAGACTACAATTGTCTGTACAAAAGCTTTGTTGTGTTTCTACAGATAAGCCCGTCTCTATTAAGACACACTCATCTTACATGTAAAAATCTTTGGTAGTAGTTACAATAGAAACCTGAAGCCAATTTCAAATTACCTGAATTGAATACTGGGTTCTGCGGTCAGTATGAACAGGATAAAAACTTTGTCGTGGTAGACTGTAGAAAAAATAGTTGCTTGAATTGTTAGGATTAGTTTTCCGAAACATTCTTTACCTGTTAAAAGTAGAGGTGTTCCTTTATCTATACAAAATTAATAAAGCGAAAACATACATTACATCGTGGCGTAGGATGTCAGCAATCACAGCATATTTTGTATTAAGTCTTTCTTTAATGAAAAGCCCTAAAAGGCAGCCCAAAAACCCTAAAAGGGCAAATAAATTAAAAAAAAACCTTCACCCCAAAGGGACCATAAACAACAAGCTGCCAACATTAAGAAAGCAAGGTCATTAACGGTAATTTTGATATTTGCAATTGAGAATTAGACAAAATCAAACAATAAAGTTTTTATAATTTAATGCGGATGAAGCCGCACGGAATCAGCTAGTTAGTTTACAAAAGGATTTACTATAACGTTTGTAACTTGAAGATAAGATGTAGCGAGTTGTGACTTGTGACGTAATACATTATCAGTGTCGTGTAATTTCGACATCGGCTTCGGTTACAAGGTTCGTTTCGGCTACGGTTGTCGATGACAATATCGTAATCTAAGCCACAAGTCTAATGAAGAAACTATTTATAACTATTTTCTATAACTCGTTGTCCTACTTGAACTACAAACGTTACACTCAACGTGACTCTTGTTACATAAAATAGACTGTGAAATATTTTGATAATTTTCAATAAAAATAAACGAATCTCTAGAAGTTTTTACCTAATGGTATTTTTTTTAATTTTTGACCCTAGCGACTTTAGCTTTATCGACATAAGAATCTTAGTCTATACATATATCTAAAAGTTTCCATACACGTAATTCCTAAGTCATTGTATTGTGTAGTTAAACAATGTATAGTGTAATAAATAATAATTATTTTTAGTAAAACACACATTTGCACTTATCAATGTAAACTCAATACAGTTATCGAGAAATGTATAATTAACAAACATCAAATGTTAACGTACGCAAACATCGTAAATCTTAGTAAATAACATTTCTAATATACCATTGTTTCATTGTATATTTACTGCGAATTTCGATAAAACTAGCTGTTCCCGTGCGACTTCATCCGCATGGATTTATGAAAATTTTATTTTATTGTTTACATTTGTCAAATAATCACTTGCAAAAGTCAATATGACATGACATGAAGACACACTATGGCAATCTCACTTCCTTGATGTTGGCAGCAACTTATGGTCTTTTCCACATTAGGGTTTTTATCCAAAATATTTATGCCCTGAGTTTAATGGCGTGAAAATATATAGCCTAAAGCGTGACGTAAGTGTAGGGCTTTTTATTAAAATAGAGAATTATTCAAAAATGTGATGTAATTGCTAACATCTTAGGCAACAAAGAAGTGTGTGTTTACGCTTTATTATAATAGTATAGATGAATAACGATTGACATTTGTTTTTTAACAGTAGAAGCTACATTTATTTGCAAACGAGCTGTCGCTCGCAAACTTCGTTGGGGCAAATTTGAACCACCGGTTACGTCATTTTGTCAGCGCGGATTTTAAAAAAAGTAGCCTACAATATGCCTACCCATGACAGCTACCCTCCATTGCAACTCTCGTCGAAATCAGCCCGGCCGTTTCGGTGATTATCAGGAACAAACGCGGCTTCCTGATTTACACATACACAGAGAAAGACATAAATATTCTAAATGCGATTTTTACTAATGGGTATATATCTACCCATGATATTGTTTTATAAAAACGTAAGATGATTTTCATATAAAAGTTAACACTAATTGTTTTTTCTATTTCAAGTTTTTGTTAATTTTTCCTCATGGATAGGTAATACACATACAACCTTCCTACGCCTTTCGTTTGTTTCAAAAACAAAAGTTTTCAGTACAATAAGGTAATCCGGCAAAGAAGTAAACAAAAGATTTTTCCAAGACGCTCTCAGAACTGTATTTAAATTTCTAACTACTCTTTAAATAGTCTGTCTTTTTTATAACTATGAAATGAAATTTAACTTCTGT